GCCAAAATCCCGTGGAGAGCCATACATAACGGCTGGAGCCACCCTAATCGCCAACATGACGTAGTGGAATATCTCACCTTTCTGCGTGACCACCTTCGTCCTTCCATTGAGAACGGCCAGTGGGAGTCCAGACAACTGCTTGATGGTAGGGTAAGGGTCGTTGACTCAGGGTCCTGTTGGCCGCTTTGGTTGCCCAGCCCACTCACCACAACACCCCCGCCACTCTCCGCGGAGATTTCAGTGCAGCATTTGCTGGAGCTCTGGCATGCCCAATCGGGCCAACAGGGCATATGTGGAATGCCGAGGGTCTTGCTGATTCAAATCAACCGCTTTGATATGCAGGCAGGTGTACCACATAAGTCAAGCAGACAGGTTCAGATTGATCTACATCATGATCCCCAGCTTCCCCACGGATTTGACTCAGCCGCATGCAATGGAGGTGTGCTTCCTCTGGTTCCGCCGCACCGCTGCATTGCTGCATGAGGGTCAGTCGCCTACGACTGGCCACTACCGCGCAGTGCTCTATGAGGATAAGCGAATGTTCATCACTGATGACAAGGTGCCAGCGAGGCTCCTTCCTGCCAATGCCTCGAATCAAGAAAACATCCAAACCAGAGTCTATGCAGTACTCTATGCGCACTGTGCGGATGCATAACAGCCGCCTTTCTGTGCCTTCAAGGTTCTGTAGTCTGCAATGAGCAGTTGGATCCTTATTTTAACCACTGTTGCGTATTGCTATATTATACTTTTGGATTTGTCCTCGCACTTCGGGGTCTTCGGACCGGGGGGCAAGTTGAGCCTCGTGTATCATCGAGGTGCGCAGAGCGCCAGGGAGCGGACCCTGTCACAACTCCGCAATCGCAGAGCGAGTTCCTCTTGCTGCGTCGGGAAGAAGAAGAAGTAGTAGTAGTAGTAGTAGTAGTAACATCAATACCAGTACCACTAGTAGCAGCACTAGTAGTAGTGCGACTAGTCGCAGAAATGCTCGAAACAACAGTTTCGAGCTATTCTTGAGCTATGGGACTATGGGTCTTTAAGCTGGGGGTATCGTTTTTGGGTTTCCCCTATCGTTTTACAATGTTTCGTAGCATCCACCTGAGCAAGGGCCTCCCCTAGACTAGTTTACTGTTCGGAGACTTTTGACTTTCCCTCTCGTGATGCCGCAGAAAGGATCCAAGGAGTGAAAGGCTTTGGAAAGGCACTTTCGATCCAGATGCGCCTTGCAGCAATTCGCTTGACAAGGTGTCCTGCGCGCCCAATCCGCAAAAGCCGGCTGTTGCGCAACCGCAAGATCAGCATGCCCCACTCTTGCTCCATATGTAAACATGACGGAGTTGAGGCATACTGTACAGTGCACCTGGAAACGCAAAGAACAAATCGTAAGTTTGCATGACATGACATTCTCTCAGTCGCAAATGTTCATGCATGAACTACAAACTGTGAAGTGCAACTGCATCCATCAGACCGGAGACCGTCCTTGAGCGAGGGAGTGGCGCCTGCACCCACAGAGTTTAACCAGGTCAGACAGCGACTTCGGGGACGGCGTTGAGCAACACTTCGAAGGCTCAAGGCTTTCCAAAACGAATCTCCGGCCCGGCCTTTGCCTGGCCAGTTCTGCCCAAAGGCGCCAGCACCAGGTGGGCAGCAACGAAGCTGGCAGTGTGCTGACAATGGGACGTAGAGCATCTGAATTCCATACTGCACCGCGGACATGCCCAAGTGTGCAGCCAGATGTGTCAAATCTGACATGCTGCAATCGATGTCCGCAACGACAGCTGAGGCTTGTTAGGGACCTGGCCAAATGCCCGTGCTTGCACCGACTGCACCTGAGCTTGTCAAACCCCCAGTCCAGGGACACCCGACTGTAAGTGCAGCTGCTGCATGTCACTAGTACGGCTACATGAGCTGACGGGACCACAGCTTGAAAATGCAAACTCATGTAAACTCCTGCTAGAGCATCATCCGGTGGGGGAGCCTCAAGGTTTCCATCTGGGCATGCAACATGCATGTCACTTCAAGAAGTGTGACTTGCTGCAGCTCAAGGTGCTGCGTACCGGCCCGCCGGCTTCAACCAATCCAAGCATGCTGCCCGCTTAGTCTAATGGCATCTCAGCTTGGGATAAGGTTTTGCTCTGAGGATCTCTGCATGCACATCAATCACATTGACGGGTAGTTGAAAGGACCTGCTTTGTAGCAAAGTTGAAAGTACGAATGTCAGCATCTCTGGAGCCGAGAGGCTCTAATGACCAGTCCCAATCTCTGCGCACGCAGCCGCCAGCGCCAAAAGCCAAATGACAGCAGAAAAGCCCGCCGGTTCGCAGTCTCCAGCTCCTTACGGTCAGACCCGTGCAGTCGCATTCTCTGGGTCGGTGTCAGGTCAAACACACAGCAAGCCGATGAGACAGCACAGAGCTTGCTTTTGTTCCCTCTTGATCCCTCGAAACTGAAGAGGCATGAAATGACCGAAAGCCGAGGATCTTTTCTTTGGCTGAGATGCCTGGCCTCCTCGCGTCGCCGCCGGGCCTGATGCTTCAGGCTCATGGATTGTGGCTTTATGTGGGGCTAAGAGGGTCTTACGGGAACTGAAAGGGTCACGAAAGTGGTATCAGGCTGGCCCGAACCAGCTTCGGCAGATGGCGAACCCGGGGTGCGTTTCCAGCAGGGACTCGAGGATCGAGCTGGAACTCTTAGACTGGTAACGCCTGACTTGCTAGCTGCTACACTCAGCATTGAAGACCTGCCTGCAGCGCGGAAGTGGTCCAGTGTTTCCAGAGGATCATCTGCAGCTGAACTCGCTCCGCATTCCGGGCACTCTGGGAGATCCGGAGCAACTGGCATGCGGAAGGTGGCGTTGCCAACACGACTTGAGCGGCAATCCAAACATACAGGGGTGGAGCACAAAGGCTTTAGCAAAGTCGAGGAAGGAATACAAGCAACGACCCAGCCCAACATGGGAAGCGTTCTACCTACGACTTCATGCTTTACTTCAACTTGCATAAAGTCTAGGTGTGGGCCTCTCAAGGTTTCACTGAAATAGCAAGCAAAGGTCAGAAATCGCCTTGCATCTGCCGCGCATCTCAGAGACATGGAAACACCAGCCGGACCAGATCGCAGCAATGAGAAGTGTGCGGCGCTTGTGCGCGTAAAACTCCTCAGAACGTGAGGCAGCAATGCAGGAACAGCCGCCAATCGATGCTGCCTCGACCTGTGGAACGTAGTGGCACGGACGGCGAAGATGCGGTCTAAACCACTAGTGCTGCCCCCTCTCGCCGCTTTCTCCCCGAAGTTCGGAGCATCTCGAATGCGAGCCGAGGCTCCGAGGCAGAGGCAGCCGCGGCCAAGCTCCTGAAGGAAACACCGTCTCATCCCACAGCCCAGCTCTCTTAGGCTGAAGGCGACATTTAGACATCGAACTGAGATGCGCAACTGCCTCAATCCTCATCCTACAGCTGGGGTGCTGCGAGACCTGTTGACCACGCAATGGACTCTAAATCGAAGCAATCCTGTCGCAGGCACGGGCCCAGTTGGCCAAGACCTCTCTGTCCACCACACGTGCCCAAGCGTACACAAGGAAGCTTAGAAAGCCATTGCGCTGAAGTCTCAGCTGGCCTGCAGTCGCGGAGCTGTTTTGCGAGGTCCCACAGTCTCTCACACCCATAGACACAGTATGACACAGTAGCTTAAGAAACAGATGATGAAAGTTACATTAGCTGCGAAAAACGAACAGCTAACTAAATGGGTCCAGGGTCTCTTGGAGCTCACGCCTACGGAAAATTGACTCGCAACTGCGAGTAATCTTTGAGGAGCCCCCTGAGAGACACCCAGGATTCCAAGGCTATCCTTCAGATATGCATTTCTGTATATCACACATCACCAGAATCAAATGCTAAGATTAAGAGTTGCAGTGCCTTGCACGCT